ACATATATGTTTTATATTGATATTTTGTTTTGGTTTCTTTACTGAACCCATATTTGATGCTAGAAGAGATTCAACTTAAAAGCATTGCTTTTAGGCTACTTATTGTAGACTGTTAGAGAACATAAATAGTCAGTTATAAGTAATCAAGTTTTTTAAATTATAGTCAGGGTAAGTGCCACACCAACTCCAGTGTCGTCTGTGTAACATGAACAATTATGTCAGTAATAGAGGATGGGAGATACGTATCCCACAGGACTAAGCTCCCTGGAGGTCCCTTGCAGAGTGCCCATGTTATGCCTCCTTCTCGAAGGAGACGTGCTTCACAGATCATGAGCTCTCTGGGCTATGGGTTGTGTATAACTGCTTTTCTGATAATGTTCTAAGTAATCTATAAAACACAGCCAAAATTAATGAATGCTTGGGTTGTGAAATATGGAGGGAAGGGGAAGCTGGACATGGACCTTATTTAGATGTAGCAGGATGAGCTATTCCTTAAAGACCTCAAGCTGCTAGATAATAAAAAGTATAATAAATAGTTCAGGCACTTCTAGGGAATGAACACTCACCCACTAGGAATCCTTTAGGAATCCCAACTAAAGAAATTTATGGCAGAAAACATTATCTCATAGGAGGCAGATGGTGGGCCCCTCTGTTGAGGAAGTTCAGCATGGAAAACTTAAGGACTACAGCAGAACCCCTTCCCCTTACAGGCATAAAAGTACAAGAGTCCATATTCCAGCAGGTAAAAAGGTTTTATATTAGAAGAGATATATGGTAAAGAACTAAAGAAAGACTTAGGGAGGATCTGCAGCATCCAAATTGGCTAAATGGGTCATGAGAACCAGAAAAGTAAAAATGAATTATAAACTATCAAGTGGCTGAGATAAAGATGGACACAGCTACAAGAAGCCCACACAAGTCTAGGGACCGTACTAAGTTTAAAAATCACAGACTGGCTGGGCGGTAGTGGCGCACACCTTTAATCCCAGCACTCGGGAGGCAGAGGCAGGCAGATCTCTGTGAGTTCGTGGCCAGCCTGGGCTACCAAGTGAGTTCCAGGAAAGGCGCAAAGCTACACAAGAGAAACCCTGTCTCAAAAAAAAAAAAAATCACAGACTGCTCTTTTGGGTCATAAAGTTCTTATGGGTGAAGGGATATGTCTAGCACCGATTAATAATTGTATGCTTACTGTTTTTAAGGATGATGTAATTGAATTATTGCCAAGCTCTTGTTGCTCCTTGTATGACTTGATAGTTTTCTTTTCTGTATATAAACTACGGATTTGCAGAAGTAAAATTGCAGCAGATTCAAACCACTTCTGAGT